ACAGGAGGAATAGGTAATAAGGGTGTGGAAAAGGACACCGATAGCTAGAAGGGTTAGACAACCGGTTGCGGGAGTTAAATTGTGAACCAATCAGGGTTACACTTTGTGTATTCGGGAAGTTTGAGTAGAAAGTAGGTTAGTATTAGGAAACAGAGTAAAATCTGTGACTGTGTGAGTAGCGAAACTTGCAAGGGCAGAAGCAGGTGGTTGACGCCCAAGGCTACCCTATGAGTAACGAGATGAGAAAGACACGGAGATCATCGCACGACGAGAAGGCTGCAACTGGGTCAGCGGACAGCTGACACTGCCAACGGGACGGCGAGCAGAGGCCGAACCGAGCGATCCAGGGGTGGTTGTGCCACAGCCCCCGGACCAGTTAATCACGACGGAGGTCGAGCAGCGGAAGCAGCACCTGGCGCCACCAGAAGGCGGATTCACCACCGACACCGCCCCTGAGACGGCAACGGGCAGAGCCAATGATCGGTTCCCTAATAACGGTTGCAGAAACGGCGTGTGGCTGTTGGGACATCAGGAGGCGGTTCTCACCTTTCGAGCACCCAGAGCCCAGCAGAGATGGCAGCCCAAAAACACAAGCAAAGCAGTGAATGCAGAACGCCTTCACACTAAGGTGTTCTAGTGATAAAACGGATTGAGTGAAAGACACAAAAGAACGAATGGACAATCAAGAACTTATATTCAAATTATGTACATAACATTGATGTAAGAGGGTACATGTTTTGTTTTTGTGTTTCAAGGAGAGAAAACAAGTGCAATATCCCTCCTTAACAGGGAGAATATTCCACGTTTTGCGGTGGGGGATGTAATGCCGTAGAATTTCGGCAATGGTTTTGTAACTTTTATGTATTAAGTTATCTTGGGTTCACAGTTAGAAAGGTTAGACAAAGGGTTAATGTTTGAAACAGAATGCAGGAAGTATCAATGTAAGTGGAAAATTTTCGCACTGCTTATTACTCCTGATTCATGCAGAACAGACCGCTGCACGGAAAAAGACAGAGAGCCGACTCAGCTAGACCGCCTGAGGAGATCAAACCCTCTCTACCGAGATGACCAACCAGGACGGACCTTTGGGGGAGAATTCGCTCTATTAAGGGGCGGAGCTTACCCAAAAGACAGGAGTCAGCAGAGAAAAAGTTATAAAGAAGCTGACACAACTGGAGGGGGGATCAATCTAAACACATCTATCGATCAATCTATCAATCGCTCTATCCATGTATCTGAGCGTACAAATGTTAAGTGAGTAGCCAGCCAGAGGCCAGGAGGGCCAGAGCCATGGTTGTGCCAGACAGAGGGGACACCATCAGCTTCCTACACCAAGTAAGTGGAACTGTTCATATCAGTAATGGATATAAAGTGTGATATTATTAAAGTGCCATGTTACACGGTTAGGACAGAGAGAGTAGGCCCTGAGAAGGAACCACCATGAGAGCTAGGATGGTGAACCCAAGAGTGTCTTTATCTGAATTACAATGTGTACGTAACGGGCCACTTCGGCCATGAAAGTGAAATGCATATAAGTGTATATATTAGTAGACGAAAGTAGACCAAGTAAGGGGGATGCGTGTGTTAATGACTTACCCCCAGTCACACCCTCTATTTCCTCGATCTCCCATACCTCCAAGGTTAGCGATATTGTGAACTCACAGCCAAGAGGTAGTTAACAAGACAATTACCAAGCACTTTGCCTTGCAACTGGCCATTCCCCAAGGGCGCAACAGCAGGAATGGCGGAAGAGGTGGAGAGAATCCTCCACTCCCCCCCTTCACGCCATAACAGGAGCCATTACCAAGCAACAACTGGTGAAGACACAGTAGGCTGAGAACACTTAGCGTGTGCTGTAGTGATTATGACTGAAGAAATTGTTTCTAGTTATGTGTCATAAGCCATCAATAAATGCTTTTACCAGTCCAAACCTTGTGTTTGGTCACTAATTTGACAAAATATCTTGCAGTTCCTAGTAGCATGAACTTTATACCTTACACATGACTGCGCTTCACTTAAAAGATATACGCAACACTGACATGTCTGTCAAACAGAATGCGCTTTGTGATGAAACAAGAATAATCTATACATGCACCCTTGTGGGTGGCATTTTATGGTGTTATGGGTTTTTAATTTTGAAACTGCCTAAAAATATTACTCATTCCTTCTTCTCAGGATGACATTTGCTCTGATGGAAGATTAAGAGAAAAACATCTGGGAAAAATGCTCTGAAACTTTACATAATCCAAAAAGTACGTTCATCCTCCATGCCCTTCATCTGAAGAACTGAAAGTTAAAACTTAAGAGGAAAAACTGTGCCTTGTTTATGATTCCTGGTGGCATGACCATAAAACTTCAGTCACTCAATGTTTTGGTTAATTAACCATTTAAAGATTATTTATGGAAGGAATATGAGGCTCAGCTGCTACCTAAAAACCTTCCACTAACACCATCTAATAAGATGAAGAGGGCAGCTGCTTCTAAATTTGCAAAATGAGTCTCTGGCAGCTTGGAAGGGGATCACAGGAAAAACAATGAAATGTTCATTCAAGAAATGCTGCATAACAAATGCACTTGACAGCACAGATAATGATATCTTATGGGACAATCTGATTTTTAATGTCCTGATTTAGGAAGTGACTTAGAAGGATCTTTAGACTTGGAACATGAGACTGGATCTACAAGGGAAGAAGTACTGTGCAGAGAGACCTGTTTAACCCCTTGAGCGTGTCTTTTAAGTGGAGCCATTTAAATCCCTAAGCGTGTGTGACGCACCATCTGCGTCCACTCAAAACCGTGCTGTAAGCGTGCGCGCCGCATATGTTGCGTCCAAACATTTCACTAAGAATTCTTAACACCTACGCTCTGATGTATGTACTTCCAGTGAATGTTTATGTAAGCTAATACTGACTTGTTTCATTCCTCGCTATCTGTTTGTGTGTGGTATTTTTTTTTACTCGCTTTGCTTGGGACAAAGCATCTGGTGTCTGCTGCTTACGAAATAATTGTTCCTACTCACACTCCGACTTGCTTTCAGAGAGATAATTTGTTAGCTAACTTTCATTGAGGGCTTGTTAGCTGTGTTTATGTGTCTGTATTTTTGTTTTTTTTTTTTTACTGGCTTGGCTTACTGGTGACAAAGCAGCTATGTCTGATTTACGATGTTACGAACCTAGGGGTCGAAGTTGCCTGATGCCTGTGTCAACATTTATGCATTTGTTATTTTTTCTGCCTTGCGACACTCTCTTTGTGGGGCCCCATGGCATCTTGGTCACGTAACTTGTCTGGCAGGACAGTTTCTTGCCCCTGACGCAAATAAAATCATGCTTTCAAAAGTGGGTTCCCACAACATTGAATGAAATTAGGGTATTCCTAGGTTTGCTTATGCTGATGGGAATAATTCAGAAACAAAACCTCAGGATGTATTTTAGTAGGAAACATATGTTAGAAACACCATTTTTTCCTAATGTAATGAGTGAAGAAAGGTTTTCATTGCTGACCAGATTTCTCCATTTTGTAGATAACACCAATAAGGAAACTGCAAAAAGAGATCCTAAATTGTACAAAATTCTTCCGGTTAGTGAATATTTGAAAAATAAGTTCCAGAAAGTGTACATACCAGGCAAAGAAGTAAGTGTTGATGAAACTTTGTTATTGTGGAAAGGTAAACTTTCGTGGAAACAGTATATTCCTATGAAAGCTTCCCGGTTTGGGATTAAAATTTTTGAACTTTGTGATTCCGCGGGATATTTGTGGAATTTTATAATTTACAGTGGATCAGGGACAAAATTAGGCTGTGAAATCACCAAAGACACAGATCTTTTCTCGACAAAAGTTGTTCTAAGTTTGTGCGAGAAACTATGAGACTCGGGCAGATGTGTTTATATGGACAATNAGACAATTTGTATAGCAGTCCCGATCTTTTCCAGAGATTAGTTCAGAGGACAACAGATGCTGTTGGAACAGTGAAAATCATGCGCAAAGATATGCCAATAGATCTAAAAAAGAAACTGAAGAAAGGAGAAGTAGTTAGTGCAAGGGTGGGAA